TTACTGCAGTGCTTTCTTGTTTGCCAGCTCAACACAGTGATGCGATGGGAAGCTTCCCTGGGATTTTCTGCAGCTTTTGAAGTGTAGAAAGATGATCAAAGATGATGAACGCATTTGCATGGGGCGTCCTCTTAGCTTTTAATGTTCGAGCACCTCAAAATGTGTGTTCAAACTCTACACTTTTTTGGAATCCCTGAGCGTACTGAGTCATTCAGAGCAGATGCTTCATGTTTTCCTGAGCCAACGCCCGTCCTTCTGTGGCATGGATGGAGGACCGACAGAAGTATCTGCGATTGGATGTTGATTCCTCAGCTCAGAATCCAAAAAATGCAGACCTGCCATGAGTTGATAGACTCTGATAGACTGAGATACCAGTTTGGAATGAGCATCACAGGCCATTCTGTAATCTATTGCAATCTCAAGCTGCGAGAGTTTCGAAGCCTTGCGAGGTGACTACATCAATGACTACTGCCGACAGAGGTTAGGAAGTGACTCTGTTTCTGACTGGAAAGTAACTTTGACTTCGAGTCTTGTTTGCAGGTCTCCGATTACTTATCAATGACGACAGTCAATTTCGATACTGTGACTCCCGTTTAAATAGCAGTGTTCAAACATGAAGCTTACTACAAGTGGCCACCCCGGATTAATACACCCTGTTTCTTATTGAAGGTTATCCCCTACTACTAAACATACTAAACATGGGTTATTATGGTTTATTAATCCTGTGTTAACATGAGATAATTCGAACACAAGGATTGTGTACGGCATGTGCTTTAGCTTGCACTGCGAGCATGGGAGAGGCACAACTCTGTGGTACAATGCCTCTGGACTGCCAAGAAGGGACGGATTTTGAGGTGGGCAGTGTGTGAGAATGACATCAAGTTTCACAAAGAATCCTCAGGTTTGAATGGTCTTAGAAGTTTTTAGTATTCACCTGTTCTTGCAAGATTGAAAAAGAAGGATCTGGTGTGATATGCAGCGATATGCACTTGAAACTCTGCAAACTTGACTCAGCTTGCGTCTAACCTGTCTAACACTCTTACGCTTTCAGCCACACCGAGCTGATCGGGTCCCTTTCTTCGGACACGGTGCCACGGTGCCGAAAGGAGCAGACGTTCTTTTCAAAAAGGAGCTGGCAGCCCAGCCGGGGCAGCCGGGATGGGATGGAAGTCCTGCAGTTCGGTCAACTGTCAGGCTTGCTGTGCCTAGGAAATCATCTTCCGAGAGCCTCCCCTGCACATTGTGTCGGAGCAGTCTGGACATCCCTCAACCTTTGCAAGGCCAGATTTGTCAAACATTCTCAAAAGACAAATCATATCAAATCATACTATTACTGATCATTACTGGAATTATGAATACGGTATTGATGAATGTGAGACCCTGCATTTGGCATGAAGTGTATTGAAATGTGCACATGACTTGTGTGTTCGACATCTCACCAGCGCCTGGTCGCAGGGTCAAAGAACTCTGCGAAGAGAGGCAAGCGGCTGACATTTTCCTGACATTTGCCATCCTTTTCTGAGACATCATGTTGGTTTATTCGTGACAATGACTCAGTAGGGAAGGTCATTTGTGCCTGCTGGCAGGCCTCAAACTTTTATCTTTGAGCCCCTTTGGTGCCGCAAAGACTGCAGGAGATGTGAAACTATGATTTTGATGCTTCAAAATGGGGAATATACCGCTCCCCAATTTAAGGCAATTCATAAACTTCGGGAAATCAGTGATCAACCATGGTTTTGTCAGCAGTACTCTACATGACGTGGTATGATTTGCTCCTTCACGCTGCAGGTTCTGGGCAGCACTCTGTTCCTTGAAACCGAGCCTGCTCAAGGAAGGCTCCAGACTACCTCCAGTAGCAGAGGACAAGTTTGCAGAAACTGTGATAATACCAAGAACCTGGTATGCTACAGAAACAAAATGAAACAAACAGATTGCTATGGATTTCAGTGAAGGATACTCACAAGAAGTTGCTCCTCTTGTGCTCCGGCTTTCATAATAATGTCAAGGCAGAAATGTGGCTAAAAACATGTCAAGTTTCACAGGGTGCCACTCCAGTGATCTCCCGTGCTAGGTACAGCATGGAGGTGTCCCAGCCTAGCGAGGTGCAAATTCGATGTATCCTCGGTGTCAGCAGACTTTTATCCTCGTCATCTCCTTGCTTTGAAGGCTTCCGAAATCCTTGCTGATGCGCTACAGCAGGAGACAAGGAGCGAATTCTTGCAATTAGCCGCGGGTGATCTGGGGACAGCGAATTCTTGCAATTAGCCGCGGGTGATCTGGGGACACCCATCCTAGGAGATTCTTTTGATAAAATACTGTCCTTCGGAAAGTGGCGGACACCAACATAGTTTGAGCTTTTGATCTTTGGAATGGTGACATGTTTTGACCCCAACATTAACGAGTCATCCGAGTCACCCAAACTTCTTCACCTGCGAGGTGCAGTGCGCTGGATTTGGAGCGTTTGCTTCAGGTAGCGTCGCTGCTGTGTGGAAGGATGTGGAAAGTGGTAAAGTGGTGCTTGGGAGAGGAGGACAAAGCCTTACAGATGAATCTGTCACGTCTCTTTTAGGAACAAGCGACAAGATGATTTTTCTTCTGCTCTTCTGCTCTTCTGCAGAATTCACTTTGAAGGACTGAGAAATCCTAGGAGGGGTTTGCAGCTTGAAAGGACTTGCTTACTTTTGGTGCCATCTTGGATCCTGATCGCAATCATTGCTTGTTGGAATTCTCCCACCTCATTTCGAGTGATTTGGATCATGCACACCGAAATTCTCAACCATGAGTCAGTAAGCCATGATTGAGATTGAAAAGGTCGACACAGAATTTGTTCGCCAGGTTTGGATCTTAAACTGCTTTGAACACACTGATGAGCCGCCCGAGAAGCCAAGAGACTTGCTTAACCCGTAGCGGTCGTAGCGGTCGTAGCGGTCGTAGCGGTCGTAGCTGTCGCAGCGGTCTGAGGCTGGGCTACTCCACGTACTTCATGTCTTCATTCATGCCGCAGCCTCGTCTCCAATCCTTCTGGCTTGAGAAGAAAATCATATTGACAAACAGTGGTGCTGCCGAGGTCATTTAATGCCTGACCTATGAAGGGTGGTCATCACACATACTTTCCTGGGACTCCTTGAAATCAGCACAAAACCCCAATAATGGTGCAACACACTAAACATCTACCAAGAGATTTCGGTGCAAGCCAGCAAATGGTGCGCTGTTCACATTTTCCCCTGACTTGGTTCTCAAGGTCACACTCGTGCTATCCCAATGCTGTTTGGCACTACGCAGAGGATGTTGCCGGCATGAAATTGTGACAGAAAACTGTCCTAGGGACCGGGGCCCTGCCCAAATGGAGTGTCTGGATACATCTACAGAAATCTATACAATATATAATGTAATATATATAATGTAATATAATATAATATAATATAACATAATATAATATAATATAGTATAATATAATATAATATAATAAGATGAAATAATATATATATATATATTTACATGTGATATATATATATATTTACATGTGATATATATATATATACACATAATAGTATATATCATGATGTAGTATGCACGGTATGTGGAACATGTAGCAACAATCCATCAAAGAAAATGGTGCCAAGCTCTTCCTGCTGGTGAATTTCATGCTTTTCCCTCCAGGACGACTTCGTCTTGCGAGCCAGAGAGAAGATCGAGACGGATGAAGAAATTACCGTGTCCTACCTCGGAGAGGATTTTGATGACGGCTTGACTATGCTTGACCTGGTTGATGTGCATGTACCCTCTGGTAAATTAACATAGCTATGGAAAATCACCATTGTTTGTGGGAAAATTCACTATAAATGGTCATTTTCAATAGCTATGTTAAATTACCAGAGGGTAACTCTGCATGTAAAGCTGTCATGAATTGGAAAGTGACCTGCTTGAAGCCCCATTTTCAGGACAATCTGCTGGAAGCTGCCACTGTCCGCAGAACACATTTGCTGGACGGGTGCCAAGCTACCGGCTACCACCATGGGACACCATTTTTGAGTTGGACTTCCCCCAGCAGCTGACCGACATTGCTTATAAGGGGGTGCAGACAACCTGACCTAACAGGCTTAGTCAGGCTTAGTCGGCTTGGTGTCTCTGACGGACTTGTCCCTCACAAAGAACCCCATGTGATGAGTTGTTGAAGCAGATGACACTTGCAAACTGGCATGGCTCATGACATTTTCTGCCAACAGATCGACTGGCGATGACCTTTCAAGGACACCAAACACTTTGTCTGCGACTGTCAGCGCTGCATTGATGACTGCGACCCTTGCCGTGGCTTCAGGCAACAGTCACTTCCAAAGGTCGTATGTTTTGAAAACTGTGCTGTTGGGTTTCTGTCCCGAAATTCATGCTTTAGCAAGGTCAGTTGCGGTATTTGCCTTGGCCTTTGCCCTGTGGACACTTGCAAGAATGATGATTTCGGTCCCTGGCTGGGTACACCTGGTAGGTGCCCTCGCTGTCTCAGCGCCTCATTGAAACTGGGGGCCTGTGGAGATGAGGTGTCCAACGGATGGGGGAGTGAAAATCGATCACTTGGAAATCGCTTTGTTCGACGCTCGCCTCCACACACGAGGAGTACGTGTAAGTGTGTAAGGGTAAGATCTTCTTTTGACCAACGCATGGATTGTGTTTCGATTTCGCACTTGGTGCGTTCGGCTGCGTTCGGCTGCCCATGCTGATGCACAGTTGACGCCAATTCGACCCTGTGAGGTGGAGGTTGGGGCAGATGCAATGACTGGTCGAAAGTGTGAACACTGTGAGATGCCGAGATTTCGCAGTCAGATTGCAGCCGCTAAATGGTGAGAAAAGAATAGAAACCATATTTCAAACCGCTAAATGGAATATATATATAATATATTATATATATAATATATTATATAAATTATATAAATATAATATGTAGAAGACCATGGTCATGGGCCATCGGCTATCATGGGCACAAGTCCTGTGCTTGACCTTTCCTTAGGTGGTCATGGGCTGCTGGCTGGCGAGGTACCTGGGGCCAGGGTTTCAAGCGTGTGGGAAACAGGCGGCAAAAAGGGCAATGGACGGTCAAAATGGTCCAGGTGATGAACTGACTGAACCACTAGATCGTTGTTAACAAGCTACAGGGCCTCAGTCAATTTTGACCTGGAATCCTGGCGACTCATCTTCTGCTGTCAGGCAGCTATGCTTCTTGCAGAAGAAAACTTGTGTAAGGAGAAAGTTCAAGAGTGCCCCACCCAGGGGGGGCCCAGTGACAATGGTGCAGCAGGACGTGCTGCTTGAGAATTTAATGCAATTAAGCTGCTACCTGCCACCGATAGTACTGTGTCTATGCAGGATGATGGTGGTTTCCTTTTGAATTAATTTGGCAATGCTCTTCTTTTCCTACCTTCTGCGAGCTCTTGCTTCTTCCTTTTTCAATTCAAATCTACTGCGCTGCATTAAAGCACACATGGATAAATACGATAGTCATAATGTATAACAATGTATAATCTATATCAACCCTATTTCTTCTATCTTCATGGTTCTCTGGGAAATTAAGGATTTCTCACATTGAACTTTTCTGAGGATGGAAGAGAAGCTTTCGCAAATGGGCAGGGCAAAGCCGGCCAAAGAGCTGTCGCCTGGCCAAAGGTCCATCATGACCATTATGGAGCCATCATGGAGCCATGAAAAATCATCAAACATAGCCATGTTGATTGGTTAATAGAATGGATCACAATAGGCCATATAGGCTATATACTCCTTCATGCTGCTACCGGAGCTTATTTGGAGATGGCGACTGTCAGCCAAGCAATTTATTTCATGGGATGGCTATTTTTTCGCTCAAATTTTCCAGTTGACCCCTGCTTGATATGTTAAAAGGGTGATCCACAAACTGGCCGAATGGTGATTTTGCCATCCACATTCGCTGGGAATCTGATGAAACAGGTTACCTACCGGTTTTTTCATGGACCATCCCCCATTTACTTCGATGATTTTCCCATGAACACTTCCATTTATGGGGGGTTTCCCAGCTAGCCATTGATGTTTTTGGGATGAGTTGCTCAGGGTCAAGTGTGTTCAAAGAAGCCTCCGGCGAGCCGAGAAGTCCTTAGCCCAGGCTTTGGGATGCGGTGGGATAATTTATGGTTGAAGCCCCGATGGATCCTATGGAATTTGATGGTAAAATCATGGTTTCCTGTAGATTTTCCATTGAATCAATCCGTTGAAGCATATACTTCCTTTTGTGCAAGAAATTTGATGAGTAATTCGAGTAATGTAGCTTCTTGATGAGTTTCTCTGATGATTTTACAGCTCCATTATGATCCGTACATGCCTTGCTACCCTGGAATTGCTGTCGATGTAGACCTGGCCAAGAGAGAAATGTGAACTGCAACACATATGGTTGCTCTTTGGTCTTGAGACATTCTTGATATCACATATATATATATGATTATATATGTATATATCACATTGTCACAAAGGAAGGTGACAGTCTCCGGCTGGGAGGGTCCCGTCTGGCCCAGCACTATCTCTTGGACCGCTCCTTTCAAGCTCTAACAGAGCTGAGTCTCCGATCTGGAGAGAAGAAGGCAGGGGCCGTGGGAATGAGCAGAGTCATAGCGTGTCATACTAAGGAGGTGCTCATGCACAGCAAGCATACATGGTATTCATATGGTATTCATATGGTATTCATATGGTATTCATATGGTATTCATATGGTATCCAATGAAGGAGAGAGGAACCAAGATGCTCTGTGAAACAGGACGGGGAGAGATTCATGCGCAAACGCTTGGATTATCAGGCAGGATCCCGGGGAATTGGTGCAGCCAGTCACAGCTATTCATCTCTTTTGGTTTTTGCACTTTTTGCACTGCTTCTATAATAACTTCTATAGATTGGGGAAACAAACTAAGAAACTCCCTTGCTGCATTCTAGTTTTTACCATCGCACAGATTTGATGCACATGTCACCCTCCAGTCAAACATGACAATGGAAAATTCCCCATTTGGTTCGATGATGTTCCCGCTGACACCTCCATTTAGGGACTTCTCAGCCATGTTTGATACCTAAGGATAGCTTCTTCCCAAATGGGGACCAAGTTGAGGTGAAAGCATACCCTGGTGTCAGTGGCAGCTACGCCTGGACCGCAGAGGCTTCGACTGCGTGGCTTCTGCGGTTCAAATTCCAACTTGGATGGCTTGATAAATCTTGATAAAGGGAAAGAATGACAGGAAACCATAGAGTTTACGACCATGATGTTTACCACCAATTGTAGGTTTTGATGGTTTCAGTTTGGTCGTGATTTTTCACTTCAACTCAACCAATTCTTGGCCAACTGGAACCAGCCATGAACAGTCCGGAAGGCCTATGCTGACATGCTTGTGCGACATGCTGGAGGCACTACTGACCCAGTCACGGCTGCAACCTCAGGTTGACAAATTCAGAAGCAGCTTGACTTTTACTCGGATATGTGGGATTAAGATAGTCCTGTAAGTTACTGTAAGATTATAAGTTATAAACATGTTGATTATTACATTATATTGTTATATTGGATCATTGTGTGCCCACATCCCCCCTTAAGGACCTTTTTTGATCCTTATGGGATCATTTCAAGATGTGGTGAGTTTTCATAAAATGAGAGAGACACGAGAGTCAGAATAACAGTGATATTAATATATCATTGTTGTTATTATCATTATTTCTACATACATAATTGTACGTATGTATATATATATATACACATAGAGTTTCATATATGTATAAGTACATGTAATATCATGTGTGGGAAATCCACGAATGAACCTACTATTTGGGAATGGTTTGACTCCCGCCCAAAAACATGGGTGATTTTGGGGATGGTTCATGAAATTGGGTTTCCCACATTGATTTGTGGAATGATTCGGAATGATATAGTTACAGTATATAATGATCATCCCATCCCTCCTAATATGAATGATAAGCATATTGAATCCCAAATCTTAGTTCATCATGTTATAATATGTTATAATCATATCCCATCCCACCCAGTTACCATATGAATCCCATCCCTCCAGATATCCCAAGGCCCGGTTTCAGGTGCCTCAGGACCTGGAGACCGCCGTAAAGCTCCGCGGTGCTGCCATGGTGACCAGAGCTTTTTTTTCCTGAGGTCATGGAGAACAGAACTTACTATACATGATGTTATCTATATATATATTATATATATATATTATATATATAATATGTATATGTTATTCTTGTATATACTACTTTTAGTATCATGTAGTATGCAAATGTATGCAATTTACAGATACAGTATATGATATCGACTCTACATAGATTTTATATATACATACGTACATTCACTGTATAATTGGAGTGAATCAGTTTACTGACTTGCTGCCATAGACTGGCTTGAATCTAAAGCACGATGAAAACCGGACAGGAACGAGGTTTGAGGCAACCAGATTGCCGGACCTCAGGAATCCAGTTGTTTGCGGACGAAAATTTCGTGGCTCGAAGTAGTCTGCAGAGGATTTAAGAAACAATAAGAAACAATAAGAAACATGAGAGCTAAAAGATATACAGTTCAAAACTTCAAGACAATGCAGCGACAGTGACAATCAAGGTAATCAAGAGGTTTGGAAAACAATGATGCAGTCATACCACCATGTGGCAGCAACTGACAGACCTCAAGCAACTGACGAACTAGAAGTCAGATCTGGAGAGCAACCCAGATTTCGAAAACATGTTTCAGTTGTACGTGGACTGAGCAGCTCCTATGGATTGAGATACAATATATATGACAGCATTTAGCACTTCTGGCCTCTACTGCACTGAATCAAGTCAACAGGGGCCATGAATTAGGACTTCAATGGCTGGCGGAAAGCTGGCCATTGAAGGATGTGAAGCAGGCACTTTTACAGGTTCCGAAGTGGGACAGGAAGCATGGGGCTGTTGATGTCGGAATTCTGCGACCGCTTGGGATACACCTCACCTTAGCAGCCTTACCATTGCAGCAAATTGGGCTCACTTGCGACCTTGGGATTTCCTGCAAAATAGTGGCTCCGTACTCAACATTGACAGGCCGTCACATATGGCCGAGCGCAAATCCCCAGCGGGTCAGCGCCTTGGAAGTCCTCGCATCAATGGCCGGAGTGACACCAGAGAATTGTAGACCTCGGATTTGGGTCTACTGTGTTTTTTTCTTATATTTTCCGGCTTCCAGAAATGATCTCTATCAAATTTCACGGCCGAAACCATCGCAGATCGCATTAAAATGGCAGTTGCCTCAGTGGCTGGTGCTCTTCCTGAGGTCGTGGTGGGGATTCAAAGAAGTGCCCTGGCTGAGCAGTAGATTGGAACAAAACGGAACCATGGATTCCAATGTCCCAGCTTGGGTCAGGGACAGCAGCTTTGATTATATAGTTGTTTGGGGAGGATTTTTCAGGATTTTCACCTCTCGCTTCAGGAAATCCCCCAAGTCCCAAACTCAGAATGTGGATGGTCTCGCAGTTTTGACTTGCTGGCCGGTCCAATACAGTGAACCAATGGCCAGCGAGGGACCAGATTGAATGACTGAATCATCAGATTTTTGTGCTGAGGCTTCCGATCACTCCGACTAAGGACGCTCAGGGGCTGCCAGCAAGCGAATCTGAGAAGATCTAAGCGTCTAATCCTAATGTGACATGGGAGACTACCCATGAGAAGATCTCACTTTTCTATACTTTTCTGCCTTTTTCAGCATGATTCTTGAAGGATAGTTTTTCGTCAAACCTCCACTTCTGCTTATCTTGGCCCTGTTTCACTGCTGCATAGCAATGAACTGACCTGGCGTTGAGTGTTGACTCGCAACTCTCCACAGGCAGCAATAGGCTCACAGACGACAGGTGCGGAAAGGGGAAGATTACTATTTCAGTGCAGATTAACAGAAGAATCAAACAGAAGATTTGGACAATTTACAGTCGCTGATTCAACTCATCTGAGGGATCTTGGCCATTTCTCGTCCTTTCTCGTCCCATGTCAGGTGATGACAACACCGAGTCCAGCGGAAAGACGAGTTCCAAGGGTGCCAGTTCCAGGCAAAGCTCGCGACAAAGCTCGAGACAAAGCTCTCGCAGCTCCAGAGGATCGCGTGGCTCCCGGACGGCCTCGCCACAATCGTCACCAAAGCTTCGAGATGATCAGGACGTGCCGACGTAGGCGGCCTGGCCCTGGAAGATTCAGGGTGCCATGGGGTGACAGAAAGAATGGCTGAATGGTTGGGGATTCCGTGGCCAAGTTTCACCAAGTTTAAGGGCCTTGGAAACTGTCAACTTTGACGAATACGTGGCGGAACATAGTTGATCATCTCCCTGTTGAAATTGCAGCTGGCAGGACCACAGTGAGCGTTTGGCTCCTCGTGCGAGAAGGCGCCCGGGCAGCCTCAAGGCATTTATAAAATTTTAAAAATAACACCACAGAAACAACAAACAAACAACAAATACGCACATTTTTGTTTTTGTATGGATATATGTATCATAAATGTAAAACATATGATATCGATTCTGCAATGCGTGATATAACAATAATTGTGCATTACATATTTATGCACATATGAGAATATGTGTAGGAATATCACTCAACTCACCACATCACCACGCCCAGCTCTTACGACTTGTGGCCAGGGTGAGTCTCAAAGTACTGCCTAGTGAGGTGCCGTTTTGGGGGGATGGTCATCATTGATAGGGGTTGATAGGGCCTGATAGGGGTTGATAGGGGTTGATATAACTCAAAATCCTGTGGAATGACCAGTGCTGGGCGGCAACGATTTCCAGCCAAGCACAGTAGGATATTTGCGTGGTTAGTTTGCAGCTATCAATCGCAAGTTTCATGATCACTTTTTAACAGTGTTCAAAACCCTGGTTGATGATTATAGGATTTATAGGGGATTTTACTAGCCAATAATCACAGGGGGATTATCATCTATAAGAATCCGGTAGGGGAATCCCTATTCGCCAACCAGTGTTTATCCAACGCGAGTTGTGCGACTGACCCACGATGGTGCCATTGAAGATCCGTGCCATGATCAGGGCCTTGAAGGGCTCGGCGAAGAGGTGGCGTATTTCGTCGTCCTGGGACAACACTCGATGACTTCCTATGAAGATCCAAAACCATCAACAGATTTTATGAATTTCATAGGTTGATGAAAATTAAAGCTAAGATCTTCTTTCTTAGCTAAGATGACAATGGGGATTCCAACTGGCCAACCCTGATACAAACCGAACTTGGCTTTCAGACTGGTACTATTGACCAGACGGACACTGCGCTGAATCCACACTGTCCGTCGGATGAAATCAGGAGATTTTCCTGATGATTTTGGACTTGCTGGAGAGAAACGATGAGTTCAATTCCCTCCATAGTGATGAGGCGCAGCAGTCATCTCTGCAAGATACAAACCCAAACACAACGCATCTAACATAGCCAACGGCGACTGATAAGACGAGGGTAATCTCAGTACTGCAATGGCAACTTCCGCGAGGAGTCCACGTACAGCGAGTCTGACGAGGAGAGATTTCAAGGGTGAACACCATAAAAAAGGAATGGTTGGGACCGGTTGGGAAATGTTGGGAATGATGTCCTGCCACAGGAAGCGGAGATGGGAGAGTCAGAGAGTGACGAGGAGCTCAGAGAGTCAGAGACTCTGGGAGCAAAAAGCAGTCGCGTTGACGTGTTGAAATCAGGACTACAGTGATGAAGGAGTTCCAGATCATAGGCCCAGCTTACCCTTGGTCCCTTGGTGGATCTTTTTGGATCCATCTCATCAGTCAGAATTCGTGCACATGGCTGTCGGAAGAAAACTGAAGCCTGCGTCTCCTTGCTGTGGTTCAAGTTCAGAGTGTCTCAGCAATAAGCAAATCGTGATTTAGACTGATTTTGTGGGGCCACTGAGTCACCTCTCAGCTCGAGGTCAGAGGTGTTAGTTTGCAGCTGTTTTTCACGAAGAAAGAACACCCAGACAAATTTTAGGAATGGCATTTAAACAATTTTAAACATATTCAAACCCTCAGAACTTCAAAGCCGTGTTTTGTTTCTCTCTTCTTTTCCGTTCCATTCCGGTTCCGTTGAACGGGTGGGTTTTGGTCGCCAAACATCGGGCGGCCCCATGCCTTGGTGCCATGGATTTTCACTTGCATCTCCAGGCCCAGGTGACGTGCGCCGCGGTAAGCCGGTAAGCCATTGGACTGATGTTACCAGATGTTACCAGATTAGAAAAGACTCTGAACATGATAGCACTATGAAGATCAATTTTAATGAGTACTGCTATATATGATGGTATTTTCAGACAAAACCCACATTGTTCATTTATTTACTGTATATAGATATAGTTGCACATCCCAGTTCGAAAAGCGGTAAACGGCCGGTATCCCAGCGCTATACCGACCGATTACCCCACCAGTTTATCCAAACATGATCCGAACATCCTAATAATCCGATCTGGACGGATTCCCCAATCAGATACTCCTAACATAGTAAACATATCATCATATCAATCCAACATAATCCCAACCTCACAACTAATCACATATGATTCATATGATAAATATATAAACTTTTGTAAACCCAACATCTCAACATCTCAGGAGCTAGCAGAGAAGGCGTGACGTCGATGTGGGTTCCACCAGGGTTGGAACCGAAATCGACCTGGTGAGATGATTCAATTGATGATTCAACAGATTTTGTTTTTTCATATCGCAATTGTTTTCAGTTTTTATGTTCAAATGTTCCAAAGATGGTTATATAGTTCATGTTGGGCATGAATGGTTTGAAAGCTACAAGCACACATCGCTCAAATGTTGCTCGGCTCAAGCTGCTTTTTGGGCCCCCATTGACGCGCAGCATGAGCTTTGAGGAAGCCCCCAGGCAATGGGGAGACTTAAGGATGCGCTCTTCCTGGAGGTTAGGGGCCTCAAAGCATCCTGGAATCAGTGCCTGTTGAAGCCCATTGTACCATTCCCTCCCAGTTTTTGGGCATGAAGCAATATCTACATGGAAACGACCAGGTCATCAAGAACGATGTTTATGAAATCTTTGACACGCCCAATTCTCTTGACTTAGTCCATGTTCCATGCGCGTTTCCGTAGTTTTTGATTCATGTATTGCTTTCTTTACCACATCCTTCTGGGAGTCTTGCAATATCTTGCAATTGCTTAGGTGCTGTTTCTGAGATTGAAGATACTTTGGAACACAAATCACTGTGGATCTGGAATTATCTGTCTAGCAAGGAAGCACTATTTCAGGGAGCACTCAAGCCAGACTCTGTCAGTCTATCAGATATATCCCTTGAGACATGGCCGGGTTGATGCACCTCCCAGCTCCTTAAAATCATGGTGTCTTTAAGCACATTTTTCCGTCCCGCGATTCCCGTGGCTCCAAGCTTTTTAGCCCGCCCTTGCGGCCATGACAGCAACCCGTAGACCCGGGCGGCCCTGGCGGCCGCGGGTGCTGCTGGGATGGGCTGTGGCCGTCACGGCCGTCATGGCCGCCATGGCCGCCGTCACGGCTGGGAGCAACTGCTTCGTGGCCTCGCGGGTGACGCAGGAACGACAGGAACGAAGCATTCCCCCAGCTGCCGCGAAGGAGAGCGAAGGTCCAGGAATGTCTGGGGTAATGAGTGTATGATTCACAATGATTAATACCCTCCGGTATGCAGACGAGGACGCTGAAAATTGAGAAAATGTACGCACGTACTATGTTAGTGGTTTTCTTACTTTTTCCAGTTTTGGAAGCGTCCATGTTAGTGTGACACATGTCACAAGCCCACTAACATGTGTGGTCCCCCCTGGGCGCTGGGACGTGCAAAAGAATCTCCTTCTGGTGCATCTCCATGTCAAACCGTCTCCCTGCTGTTGCCCGTTGTGCTTGTCAGGGACGTCCATGATAGTAGACTTGTCCATGGGTCAGTCATGCAACTTCCCCATGCACATTTCCAAAGCAAGAGGCGGCCAGTTTTGCCTAAGTTCCCTTTATAGAAATGGTTAAATCAGCTTCAAAGACCCGCCACTGGGGAAGTGGCTGCGACAAAAAAAGCAGCTGTGGGCCGAGGGGATCCAGGGTTCACTTCTCAATGTTTTGTTAACATAGACGTTTTTAGGTTTGGGTGTACAGCCATGGCGTCATTCCCAGGGAACCTACCAAAATATGAAACTTTGCAGCGTCCATGTTAGTGTACACTTTTTAGCTAAATGTTGGGAGGACCACGTCCTTGTTAGCTAAATTTTGATGGTTTTTACAAAATGCACCACGTCCTTGTTAGCGACATTTTGGGCGGACCACGTCCTTGTTAGTGAGAATTTACTGGTTTTGACCAGATGCACGTCCATGTTAGTTCCCCACATTGACGTGTGGGGTTTTTGTTTTTAGTTCTGTATCCGCTCCTCCTCCTCCTCCTCGTCTTCCTTCCCGTCCTTCCCGTCCTTCCCGTCCTCCCTCCCTCCCTCCCTCCATCACTCACACTCACTCACTCACACACACACACGCACTCATTCACTCTCACTCACTCACTCACTCACTCACTCACTCACTCACCTCACTCACTCACTCACTCACTCACTCACACACACACTCACTCACACACTCACTCACCTCACTCACTCACTCACTAACTCACTCACTCACACACACACACACTCACTCACTCACTCACTCACTCACTCACTCACTCACTCACTCACTCACTCACTCACTCACTCACTCACACACACACTCACTCACACACACACACACTCACTCTCTCACTCTCTCACTCACTCACTCACTCACTCACTCACTCACTCACTCACTCACTCACTCACTCACGCACTCACGCACTCACTCACTCACGCACTCACGCACTCACTCACTCACTCACTCACTCACTCACTCACTCACTCACTCACTCACTCACTCACTCACTCACTCACTCACTCATCCACTCACTCATCCACTCACTCATCTCATCCACTCACTCACCTTCACTCATCCCATCCACTCACTCACCTTCACTCACCTTCACTCATTCACCTTCACTCACCTTCACTCACTCACTCACTCACTCACTCACCTTCACTCATCCACTCACTCACCTTCACTCATCCACTCACTCACCTTCACTCATCTTCACTCACTCACTCACTCACTCACTCACTCACTCACTCACTCACTCACTCACTCACTCACCCACCTTCACTCATCCACTCACTCACCTTCACTCATCCACTCACTCATTCACTCACTCACTCACTCACTCACTCACTCAGGCAGGCGCAGTACAGAGCGGAGCTGCGGCGCGCTCGCGCCGCGGCTGCCTTTCGCGTGGCAGGCGCAGTACACAGAGCCTCCTGGACGAGCTGCGGCGCGCGTTGCCGCCGCTGGGGCCGCGGCTGCGTTTGGCGTGGCAGGCGCAGTACACAGAGCCTCCTGAACGAGCTGCGGCGCGCGTGGCCGCCGCTGGGGCCGCGGCTGCCTTTGGCGTGGCAGGACGAGCTGCGGCGCGCGTGGCCGCCGCTGGGGCCGCGGGTGCCTTTCGCGTGGTAGGCGCAGTACACAGGACCTCCTGGAGGAGTTGCGGCGCGCGTGGCCGCCGCTGGGGCCGTGGGTGCCTTTCGCGTGGCAGGCGCAGTACACAGGACCTCCTGAAGGAGCGGGGCCGCGGGTGCCTTTCGCGTGGCAGGCGCAGTACACAGAGCCTCCTGGACGAGCGCCCCAGCGGCGGCTGCCTTTGGCGTGGCAGGCGCAGTACACAGAGCCTCCTGGACGAGCTGCGGCGCGCGTGGCCGCCGCTGGGGCCGCGGCTGCCTTTCGCGTGGCAGGCGCAGTACACAGAGCCTCCTGGACGAGCGCGGCGCGCGTGGCCGCCGCTGGGGCCGCGGCTGCCTTTGGCGTGGCAGGCGCAGTACACAGAACCTCCTGGACGAGCTGCGGCGCGCGTGGCCGCCGCTGGGGCCGCAGCAGCCTTTGGCGTGGCAGGCGCAGTACACAGAGCCTCCACATCATCTTTGACACACTATCATTTTTCTCACACAAATTTGTCTCACACCATCTTTCAGACACCATCCTTGACACACCAACTTTGACACACCATCTTTCACACCACTTTGTCCCACACCATCTTTCACACACAACTTTGTCACACACCATCTTGCACAAACCACTTTGTCACACACTATCTTTCACACACCACTTTGTCACACACCATCTTTCACATTTTCTCACACCATCTTTCACACACCACTTTGTCACACACCATCTTTTACACACCATCAACACCATCTTTCACACACAACTTTGCCACACACCATCTTTCACACACCACTTTGTCACACACTATCTTTCACACACCACTTTGTCACACACCATCTTTCACACCCCATCTGTGACACACCATCTTTGTCAGCACTTTGTCACACACCATCAACACCATCTTTCACACACCATCTTTGACACACCATCTTTCACACACAACTTTGTCACACACTATTTTTCACACACCATCTTTCACACACCCCTTTGTCACACACCATCTTTGACAGCACATCTTTGACACACACACACACCATCTTTCACACACCGTCACAGACATTTTTTCCCACACCATCTTTCACACAACTTTGTCACACACCATCTTTGACACACCTTCTTTCACACACAACTTTGTCACACACCATCTTTCACCACACCATCTTTGTCACACACCATCTTTCACGCAGACAACTTTGTCACACACCATCTTTCCTCCACCTCTTCCTTTGTTTTTCCTTCCTTCCCCGTCCCCGCAACAAGATTTCTTGCTCAATATTGGAAGAAGTTGACTTGTGGGGTTATCCGGTCCTTTTATCTATCTTATCTATCTATCTATCTATCTATCTATCTTATTTATCTATCTATCTATCTACCTATATATCTATCTATCTATCTATCTATCTATGTATCTATCTATCAATCTATCAATCTATCAATCTATCAACCTATCTATCTATCTATCTATCAATCAACCAATCAATCAATCAATCAATCAATCTAATCAATCTATATAATCAATCTATATAATCAATCTATATAATCAATCTATATAATCAATCTATATAATCAATCTATATAATCAATCTATATAATCAATCTATATAATCAATCTAATCAATCTAATCAATCGAATCAATCGAATCTATCTAATCTATCTAATCTATCTAATCTACCTAATCTATCTAATCTATCTAATCTATCTAATCTATCTAATCTATCTAATCTATCTAATCTATCTAATCTATCTAATCTATCTAATCTATCTAATCTATCTAATCTATCTAATCTATCTAATCTATCTAATCTATCTAATCTATCTAATCTATCTAATCTATCTATCTATCTACCTATCTACCTATCTATCTATCTATCTACCTATCTATCTATCTATCTATCTATCTAATCTATCTACCTAATCTATCTATCTAATCGATCTATTTAATCTATCTATCCAATCTATCTATCTAATCTATCTATCTAATCTATCTAATCTATCTAATCTGTCTAATCTATCTATCTAATCTATCTATCTAATCTATCTATCTAATCTTTCTGTCTAACTAATCTTATCTAATTTATCTATCTATCTATCTATCTATTTGTTTGTCTGCCTGTTTGTCTGTCTACCTGCAAGCTTGAAAACGCAGCAATTCTGGGAGACTTCCTCAATTTTTGAACTTGACAAAAACGAAAGAATTCTGCGAGACTTCCTCAATTTTCGAAGTTGGCAACATCAAAAACGAAACAATTCTGCGAGACTTCCTTCAAAAATGGAAAGTTGAGTGCAGAGCTGACAGCCTCGTGCCAATGCGTTTTGCGATTTTTCCATTCCACCTGTCTAAAGTACTGCGCATGCCACGCAAAAGTGATGCCAGGTGGTACGAAGTGCGGCACCTGTCACGCAATATCATCTTCCCAAGACTGACGATCTGATGCTCCAAAATGCAACCCCTCTCAGGAAATCAGCGCCCGGACCTCCGAACAGCTCTAATGAAGATGTCTCTTGTACTGCGCCTGCCACGGAAAATGCGTCTTTACAGATCCTGTTCAAATGTCCCACGCCTGCCATCGTTTTTGGAAATGCTACAAAACCCTCACGTTTTGCTCACATTTGAGAAGGTGCAGAATCCCTTGCGCCTGCTACGCGAAACGACATCTGAACGTCCAAAAGTGGTCCGAACATGTAGTGTTTTTAACATTTTGACCTCGAAATGTGCTTCGCGCCACATCCGTGTGCACTTTTTCGACGTCTCAATTTCCAAAAGCGGTCTGAACGTCGTGTGTTTTGTATACATTTTGACTTCGACATGTGCTTCGTGCCACAACAGCGTGCACTTTTTCGACATCTCAACTTCCAAAAGTGGTCCGGATGTGAAGTGTTTTTAGCTTTTTCACTTGCACATGTGCTTCGCACCACAACAGCATGCACTTTTTCGACATCGCAACTTCTAAAAGTGCTCCGAAGCTGAGGTGTTTTTTGCTTTTCACTTGCAAATGTGTTCGCACCACAACGGCGTGCACTTTTTCGACATCGCAACTTCTAAAAAGGGCTCCGAAGCTGAGGTGTTTTTTGCTTTTCACTTGCAAATGTGTTCGCACCACAACAGCGTGCACTTTTTCGACATCGCAACTTCTAAAAAGGGCTCCGAAGCTGAGGTGTTTTGTACATTGAGTTGGAAATGTGCTTCGCGCCACAACGGCGTGCAATTTTTCATCTCTCATCTGGCCAGCTGGCTCCGCTTCCACCGCTTTAGCGAGCCTACTTTTCGACCCTTCGGAGCCACAAATCAAATCATCGGAAAAACGCAGTGTTTCGCGACTTTCCTACCTTTTCACGCACCTTGATCTTCTTTCTTCTAAGACTTTCTCTTTTTGATCTTCTTTCTATTTTTCTCTTCTCTTCTCTGACTCTTCCCATCTCTGCTTTTCATCTATCATATTGTCGGAAGTTTGACTTCTAAACTTCCTTCGACGAAGTAGTGCTGGGAAGTGTTTTGTGCAAGTTTTGTAGTACGAAGTAGTACTGGGAAGTATTTTGTGCAAGCGTTGCTATGACTAGTACTGGGAAATACTTTGTGCAAGCTTTGTAGCATAAAGGCATAAAGATGTACAAAGTAGTACTAGGAAGTGTACGAACTACCGTAGATGCACGATGAAATCAAACCCTGCTGTATTGTTGTCGCCCCCGCATCCCCAAATTTCAATGTTGCCTTTGGGCTGCGCGCTTCGGGCCGGTGGACAAAAAATTCAAACCCTAACGCAGAGGAAGCTATATAGAGCTTTGTGCAACATTGAAATTTGGGGCCTGGGGGTTTACTTGGGTAATAGAATAGGTAACAGAAAAGGAAATAGAGTTTGGAATTAGGTGATATGAAAACATAGGGATTTGCGCACTAGAGAGCCCAAATCTTCCCTCGCGCGATGATACGCTGTATTGTTGTCGCCCCCGCATCCCCAAATTTCAATGATGCCTTTGGGCTGCGCAAAAGGGACTTTCCAAGGCCAGGCGCTTTGTAGTAAAATTACCGGGTCCCATGGCGGATTCTTTAAAATTGGAACCCCTGCACTCGTAGTGAACCCATTGGGTTTCTGGAAAACATGTAACATGCTGTGATTTTGCTAAAGTATTCCGCGTGTAATTCAATTTTTGAAATACCGACAGACCCAAGTATCGCCTGATTTGCCTCGTTTTTGTTTCTCGATCTCTCTCTCTCTCTCTCTTCTTGCTTTGCTCTTTTGTGTGGGGGAGTATATGTTTTAAACGCGTATGTTTGATTATTTGCTGTATAACCACCCCCCATCACGCCCTACAAAATGACAGGTCTTCTGCCAGAACGTCTACAATATGGACTGGTGTGTTGTTGTTTACCTTCTTTAAGAAAGATCGCAGCAGTTTTTAGTGAAACTATTCTCTTCCATGTCATGCCCCTACAAAATGACAGGCCCCTTTCGAAACCCCTACAAAATGGGTTGCTGTTCTTATTTTCTTGCTTCACATGCTTCAAAAGGTCTTGCTCCAGACTGCGCAGGATATAGTTGCGAGCATTTATACTTTTTCTGTACCCCCATCATTCCCCTACAAAGTGAGAGGTCCCCGTCGGAACAGCTATAATATGGTTTTGTGTTTTATTGTTATTTCCTGTGCATATAGTCACATAGCTGAAGACACCCCAAGAGAAGTATTAAGAAACAAGTTTGAGTCAAAGTCATACTTAGTATTTGTGTGGTGTGTCTATTCCCACGTCCCCATCATGCCATATCATGCCCCTACAAAATGACAGGTTTCCTTCCAAGCACCTACAAGATGGGTTGGCGTTGTGGTTCTCTTTATCTTTCTTTTTCTCAAACATGCAACTTAAGACTTTAGACTGTTCAAAGCTGTTTGGGTTCTTGACAGCCATCATGTGGTTCCTTCCAAACAGCACAGGCACACACAGAGAGAACAGCATGATCACTTGCTAATTTGTTTCCTCATTGTTTAAGCCTTGAGACGGAAAAAATGTAGCGAACCCTTCTGTGGTTTTATTCCATTCAATCTGGGTTCTTGGTGCATGTTGGGTTTACTGCAAAATGGGTATCTTGAAATTGACCACGCATACCGGTTCTGGATTTTTTAAACTGCTCAGGGGCCATCAGAGTCAATTTTTTGTTTACAAATTGGGTCCCATATAGTAGCTAAAAACATTTAAAAGTAGCCTTTGAAAACCATCTTGATGAAAAAAACAGAATCAAAACCTTGTTTTAACCTCTTCTTGTTACTCATTTTGTAGTGAAGAAGCCTATCCAGGGCCCGGACAGCGAGTTTCCAGGCAACCCATTTTGTAGACTCAGGTCCGGCATTTTGTAGAGAAAAATGCCGGGGCCACTGCTAAATGGGTGCTCCAACACCACCCCCCCAATAGCAAGGGTGATATTTGTGTAGTGTAGTGTTGTGTGCTGTAGTGTAGTTGTAGTTGTACTTGTAGTTGTAGCTGTAGTTGTTGTAGTGTAGTAAAGTGTAGTGCAATTAGTGGAGTGTCGGAGTGTAGTGTAATTAATGTAGTTGTAAGTGTAGCTGTAGTTGTAGTAGTTGTTATAGTTGTGGTTGTAGTTGTTTTATTAGTGTAGTGTACTGTAATTAGCGTAGTGTAGTGCAATCATTGTAGTGTAGTGTAATTAAGATCATGAAGTGTAGTGTAATTAGTGTAGTTTAATGTAGCGTCGTATATTTGCATTTGTATTTGTATTAGTATTAGTAGTAGTAGGAGTAGTGGCAGTAGTAGTAGTTGTAGTAGTCGTCGTCGTCGTAGTAGTAATAGTAGTAGTAGTAGGAGTTGTAGCTGTGGTTGTAGTTGTGGTTGTTGTTGTTGTTGTAGTTGTGGTTGTAGTAGTAGTCGTCGTCGTCGTCGTCGTCGTTGTGGTAGTAGTAGAAGCAGTAGCAGTAGCAGTAGCAGTAGGAGTAGTAGTAGCAGCAGCAGTAGTCGTAGTAGTAGTACTAGTAACTTCGTAGTAGTAGTACTAGTAACTTCGTAGTAGTGGTACTAGTACCTTACTAGTAGTAGTAGTAGTAGTAGTAGTCGTCGTCGTCGTCGTAGTAGTAGTAGTAGTAGTACTAGTACTAGTACTAGTACTAGTAACTTAGTAGTAGTAGTACTAGTAACTTAGTAGTAGTAGTAGTAGTAGTAGTAGTAGTACTAGGAACTTCTTAGTAGTAGTAGTAGTAGTAGTAGTAGTATTAGTAGTAGTAGTAGTAGTAATAATAATAATAATAGTAGTAGTATTTAAAAAACGCAGCAATTCTACGAGACTTCCTCAATTTTCGAAATTGACAACATCAAAAAGGAAGGAATTCTGCGAGCCTTCTTTCAGACCTTGTCAGATATGGAAAGTTGAGTGCAGAGGTAACAATTTTCAGACATGGAAAGTTGAGAGTAGAGCTGACGGCCTCGCTCGTACCAATGTGTCTTGCATTTTTCCTATTCCATTTGTCTAAAGTATTGCGCCTGCCACGAAAAAGTGAGGCCAGGTCATACGAAGTGCTGCGCCTGTCACGCAAAATCATCTGAAGATCGGATGCTCCAAAATGCAACCACTCTCAGGAAATCAGCGCCCTGACCTCCTAACATCTCTGATGAAAATGTCTCTTGTACTGCGCCTGCCACGCGAAATCCATCTTCGCAGATCTTTGCAGATCTTCTTCAAATGTCCCACGCCTGCCATCGTTTTTGGACATGCCACAAAACCATCATGTTTTGCTCTCTTTTGGCAAGGTGCAGAATCCTTTGCGCTTGCCACGCAAAACGGCCCTTCAACGCCCAAAAGTGGCGGGAACATGTGGTGTTTTTAGCATTTTGACTTCGAAACGTGCTTCGCGCCACAACGGCGTGCACTTTCTAAACATCTCAACTTCCAAAAGTGCTCCGAGGATGGTGTGTTTTGCATTTGCACATTTTGACTTCGAAATGTGCTTCGCGCCACAACGACGTGACGTGCAATGTTTCATGTCTCATCTGGCCAGATGGCTCCGCACCCGCCGCTTTAGCGAGCCTACTTTTCGACCGTCCGGAGCCCCAAAACATTGGAAAAACACAGTCTTTGGCGACTTTTCTACCTCTTTGCCCACCTGCATCTTCTTTCTTCTGACTCTTTTTCTTCTCTGATCTTCTTCCTTCTCACTTTCTTTTCTCTGACTCTTCCCACCTCTGCTTTTCCATCTGTCCATATTGTCGGAAGTTTGATTTCCAAATTTCTTTCGATTAGTATGTAATGTAATACGTATCCGTATAGATGTACAGATAGAGGCATTAACTATGTTGCTGTTGTGACACCGCATCGAGTGCTGCCCGCTGCCCCCAGCCGTGCTGGGAATCCCAAGGATTATCCGAGTGCTCCGGATCTTTCGCTTCGTGTTAGCGCTTCGCACCTTAGTCCAGTCGACCATTCACACCCTGAAGTCGCTCTTCTGGGCACTGGTTTTATTGGGATTGATCGTCTACGTGTTCCTCGGTGCTAATCCAGGTGTCATGTCTGATGCAACCATGGCCATGTCGAAAGAGAGATAGGTGTAACATGTATGTTCGTGGATGCGAATTCACTTTCAACAGTACCGTATTTTAGATTTGTCTAATTTTCCCCGTTTTTTTTTCAATTTCCATCCCAGGCAAGCAAGCAAGCGAGCAAGCAAGAAGCATGTAGGCAAGCCAGCGAGCCAGCCAGCAAGCAAGCCAGCAAGGCAACAAGCTTAGCCAACCCCAAATGAACACCATAAACCTACCTTGAGTAAACCCCACACAACCTTTCACTAATCAGCCTGAGAGAACCCGAAATAAACAACCTAAACCAAGCGAAGCAGGAACACGTCAAAATCCGGATGCATCCCAAGGTTAAAAACCGCTGCTGATTTGTTAAGCAGGGGAGCAACCCCCAACAGTCTAAATAACTATTCATGAATATTCAATATTCAGGAATGTTATTCAATATTCACGATGCCCTCCATATTAAAACAAGGGCAAACCAGGCGACCCAAGGATTAACATGGTTAAGTGTGATACTGTGGATGATGATGATGATGATGATGACGACGACCATGATGACGATGATGGTGATGACGATGATGATGACGATGATGATGACGACGGTGATGATTATGATGGCAAGGATGATGGTGATGGGAGGATGATGATGAGGAAGATCATAATGCGGAAGATGAAGTGGAGGATGGTAAGGTGGAGGAAGATGATGTAGAAAAGGAGGAGCACGATCATGTAGAGGAGGATGAATGATGGTGATGATGATGATGAAACTGGTGAGGATGGTGATGACGATGGTGATGATGTTCATGATGATGGTGAGGATGATGATGATGATGATGATGAACACGAGATGATGATGATGGTGACGAGGATGATGATGAGGATCATAAGGCGGAAGATGAAGTGGAGGATGATAAGGTGGAGGATGATGTACAGAAGGTGGAAGATGATGATGTAGAGGAGGATGAATGATCATGATGATGATGATGATGACGATGACAATCATGACGATGATGATGTTGTTGATGATGATGATGAAGATGATGATGAGATGATGATGATGATGATGGTGATGATGGTGGTGGTGAGGATCACAATGCGGATTAAGTGGAGGATGATAAGGTGGAGGATGATGATGTACAGAAGGTGGAAATTGATGATGTCGCAGAGGATAAAATGAAGATGATGATGATTGTGGTGATGATGGTGAGGATGGTGATGAAGATGGTGATGATGATGATGATGATGATGGTGAGGATAATGATGATGATGATGATGATGAGATGATGTTGATGACGATGATGATGGTGAGAATGATAATGGTGATGGTGATGAGTTTGAGAATGTTGATGATGTTGATGATGAAGATCTTAATGCGGAAGATGAAGTTGAGGATGGAAAAGTGGAGGATGATGGTGTAGAGAAGGAGGAAGATGATGATGAATATGGTGAAGGTGATGATGATGATGGTGATGATCCTGATGATGATGAAGATGATGATGATGATGCTGGTGAGGACGGTGTTGGTGAAGAGATGATGATGATGACGGCGGTGATGATGTTGATGGTGATGATGATGAGGAGTTTGAGGATGATGATGATGATGATGATATATGATGATGATGATGATGATGATGAGGGTCATCATGCGGAAGATGAAGTGGAGGATGATAAGGTGGAAGATGACGATTTAGAGAATGAGGAAGATGATGTGGAGGAGGATAACAGATGACAATGATGGTGATGATGATGATCAGGATCAGGATCATTATTCAGAAGACGAAGTGGGGAATGAAAGGTGGAGGATGAGGATGATGATGTAGAGAAAGAGGAAAATGATGAGGAGGAGGAGGAATAATGATGATTATGGTGATGACGATGTTCATGATTGTGAGGATGATGACGGTGATGATGATGGTGATGGTGATGATGATGATGATGATGGTGATGGTGATGATGATGATGATGGTGATGGTGATGATGATGATGATGGTGATGATGACGATGACGGTGATGATGATGATGATGAGGAGTTTGAGGATGATGATGGTGATGTTCATGATGATGGTGATGAGATGATGAGGATCATTTTGCGGAAGATGAAGGGGAAAATGATAATTAAGGTGGATGATGGTGATGTAGAGAAGAAGGAAGATGATGATGTTGAGGAGGATACATGATGATGAAGATGATGAAGATGATGATGGTGATGACGAGGAAGACGATGGTGAGGATGATGATGGTGACGATGACGATGGTGATGATGATGATGATGAAGAAGAGGGTGATGACGAAAATGGTGAAGATGGTGATGATGATGAGCTGATGTTGATAATGATGATGATGATGAGGAGGATGATGTTGATGATGATTGCTATGATCGTGATGATGGTGATGATGGTGATGATCCTGATGATGATGGTGATGATGATCATGATGGTGGCGATGATGGTGATGATGATGATGATGACGACGACGATGATGAGTGTGAGGATGATCATGATTGGCCAGCCACGAAAAATACAACTCGTCCCTTGAAAACCTCGCTCAAGTATTGTGGTCACGCAAAATTACTTTCGACACGTTATGAAAATTTATGAAGCACGTCATGTTGGAATGTCACGAGGTGCCACGCCTGCCACACGAAACGGCGTTGCGCAACGTTTGAAATTTCGGAAAGTGACCGCTTTCGCAGGACTTGCCAGAGGCAGAGGCAGCGCCCTCATCGCGAACGGTTGCGGATGGTTGCATGGTTGCGGATGGTTCCGGATGCGAAAGCCGCGTCGAGCGAACACCTCTTCACCCCCAGACCCCCTAAGTAAAACGAGAACATTTCGCCATTTCGTTGCGGGGAAAAACCGGGGAAATTGAAAAATAAACCGGGGAAACTTGCACCCCTTCAATCATTGCCAGGAGGATACGGACATGTTGTGCGAGACCATGTCTCATGTCGGTTGATTTTGCACCACCTCGGCTTACCTTTGCCTTGTATGACCAAAGGAGCCTTGAGTAAGTAGACATAAGTAGACCTTCGGAAGTTCGGATTTGCTTCTGGTTGACAATTGTCAGTTGGAGATCACGCCAAGCTATTCAAGGATTTTTTGGTTTTTGTGCGTGCGTTTGTTATAGTCATGTATAGTCCCCTTCTCCTAGAACTCCATGCCGTGGCCCCAAAACATCCCTACCCTCTTAAAAATGAAATTTGACGGAGGGAGAGTAGTACTGAAATTTCATTTGCAAATTTTGTCTTTTCAATCGTATTTTCTCAACGAGGATATGTTCCTCGTCATTCCATGTCACTGGCAAGCAAATGAAAATTACATACTTGCGCTTGGCACCGGAGGAATTAATCACGTGTCAGACTGCAGTGACTGCAGCAGCACATGTTTAGGGGTGACATCCCCCCAAAAATTGTGCTGCCGTCATCATGTCATCATACTTGCGCTTAGCTCCGGAGCTAAGCGCAAATATTTTCTCACCAGTGCTAAGAGAGATCAAGTGCTGACGCTCGCCTACATGCTTCCCGCAAATTCAACTTGTAGTGCCCAAGGCTCGTTAAGAAATTTCATTTTACAAGGCAATTTGAAGGTCCCAGGGTTTCCAAATCCAAAAAATGGACCTCGAAAGATTGGTTTTGCCACTCCCCTCTATAGGGGTAGGGACCCAAAACAAAACCCAGTGCCAGGCTTAATATTGGATCATAATGTCTTCCATTTTTGGGGCGCAAGATGGCCCAAGGGAATTTGACATGGGACGGGATTCATTGGACACGACCTGCAGCACGGCCAGAGGTTTGCATTGGTGTTCACAGAGGCCACTGGAGACATGATCCGCGATCTTCGGGTGGTTGGTGACCAGCAGAGCGCCAGCCTGAACCTTGGTTTCAGATACCCAGCACTAAACCCTTTGAGGTAAGGGAAAATGCATGAAGATCCAGTTTTAGACTGGATGGATATTGTTTTTTTCATGATTTTCCACATCCAAATGCTTTAAAACAGGGTAGCTTCATGACCTTTGAGTCGGATAGATCAATTTTGGCCGAAATTATTGGCCTATGTTTGTTGGTGATTCATTCATACTTAATATATAATTCAAACATGATAATATTTTTAACTATAATTTTAAATACATATATAAATGAAATTATTTTAGATATAAATGCAAATGAAAATCAATCAATCTATCAATCAATCAGTCTATCTATCTATCTAATCAATCTATTTTTCTATCTATCTATCTAACTATCTAATCTAAATCTAATCTAATCTAATCTAAACTAATCTAAACTACTAATCTAGACTACTAATCTAAATCTAATCTAATCTAATCTAATCTAATCTCATCAAATCAAATCAAATCTAATCTAATCTAATCTAATCTAATCTATCTAATTTAATCTAATCTAATCTAATCGTATCTTATCTTATCTATCTATCTAATCTTATCTATTTATCAATCTAATCTTACCTATCTATGTATCTAATCTTACCTATCTATCTAATCTTGTCTATCTATCTGTCTATCTATCTATCTATCTACCTACAGGTGGTGCCAAAATTATAGAACGAAATTAGGAGTACAAAAGTACGGTAAATACCGTACCTTCGTACTCCTCCGGATCCCGATTCCGCGCAGATTCGGATCCTGTTCTATAAATATTTTTTCTGTTCTATAATTTCTGGCACCGTGGAGGTTTCTGACATATACTTGCATCATTTTATGTAATTCTCTTTCTGGGACCCCGGAAGAGGTTATTTACATATATTTGCATTATTTTATGTATCTTTCTGGGGCCCCAGAAAAAAGTGACACAGAAACCAGAATTATAGAACGGTTTACGCAAAATTAGGTATAGAACGGAAAAAAATCATTATAGAACGAAACTGGTAAATGTAGGAAAAACGGGGTCAAAGACAATTATAGAACAAACCAGAATTATAGAACGATGAAACAAATACGAGCAAGTTAAGATAAGCTGTTTTTTTTCATACCTTCCGAGGAAAACAGAATTATGGAACAAGAGGGTACGGTAAATAACCGTACCTTCGTACTCCTCAACTTCCGTTCTATAATTCTGGCACCGACCATATCTATCTATCTATCTATCTGTCTATCTATCTATCTATCTATCCATCTATCTATCTATCTACCTACCTATCTATCTATCTATCCATCTATCTATCTATCTATTTATCTATTTATCTATTTATCTATCTATCTATCTATCTATCTCTCTATCTATCTATCTATCTTTCTATCTATCTATCTTTTCTATCAATCTCTCTATCTCTCTATCTCTCTATCTATCTATCTATCTATCTATCTATCCATCTTTTCTATCTTTTCTATCTCTTCTTTCTTTTCTATCTTTTTCTATCTTTTCTCTCTTTTCTATCTTTTCTATCTTTTCTATCTTTTCTATCTTTTCTCTCTTTTCTATCTTTTCTGTTGTATCTATCTATCTATCTATCTATCTTTTCTATCTATCTACCTTTTCTATCTTTTCTATCTTTTCTATCTTTTCTGTTCTTTCTATCTATCTATCTATCTATCTATGTTTCTATGTTTCTATCTATCTATCTATCTTTTCTATCTATCTATCTATCTATCTATCTCTCTATCTATCTATCTATCTTTCTATCTATCTATCTATCTTTCTATCTATCTATCTATCTATCCATCTATCTATCTATCTATCCATCTTTTCTATCTTTTCTATCTCTTCTTTCTTTTCTATCTTTTTCTATCTTTTCTCTCTTTTCTATCTTTTCTGTTGTATCTATCTATCTATCTATCTGTCTGTCTATCTATCTATCTATCTAACTATCTATCTATCTATCTATCTATCTATCTATCTTTTCTATCTATCTACCTTTTCCATCTTTTCTATCTTTTCTATCTTTTCTATCTTTTCTATCTTTTCTGTTCTTTCTATCTATCTATCTATCTATGTATCTATGTATCTATCTATCTATCTATCTATCTATCTATCTATGTGTGTTTATTTTCCACCCGTCTCAAAATGGCATGATGATGATAAGGAGTGGGATTTTGGGAGTTCCGATTTTTAAGCAACCCCCAAATCACCATCTTATTTGGAATGATGATCCTAGATCTGGGTGGCTCAACAATCAACCAGGAGATATTTTGGCTCGGTCACGACGACGATGTTGAGCCTTTTTATGAGTATTGCCGGTGGGGTCAGCTGGGAAGATGTGCTGGAGCCCTTGAGGCAGGTTTCGGAGATTTGGGTAGTTCTCTTCATTATGTACGTACCTGGCCGGTGTCATTTTTTTTTTGGTTGGCACAGTTGTGCTTGTCCTATGTCCCCTCTTTTGCAAGCCTACTTGGGATGCTATAGAATATATAAAGACTATTTTGCCACACATCAATGTTTTCCACTCTGGACCTGCCCGCCTCCGCCGCCGCCGCCTCCTCCTCTTCCCCCTCCTCCGCCCTCTCTCACACACAACTTTGTCACAGACAACTTGGTCACACACAACTCTTTCACACACAACATTGTCAGACACAACTCTTTCACACACAACGTTGTCACACGCAAGTCTTTCACACACACACATGCGCACAACATTGTCACACATACAACGTTGTCGTGCACACGGCATTGTCGCACGCAACGTTGTCACACGCAACTGTGTCACACACACACAGTGTCACACACACAACATTGTCACACGCAACATTGTCACACACAACTGTGTGACGCACAACGCGCAACATTGTCACACAGACAAAATCGTCGGACACAAATGTGTCACGCACACAACATTGTCACACACACACAAAGCTCTTTGACACAAACACACACACACACACGCACACGCAACTATGTCACGCACAACATTGTCACACCACACACATCACACAACTCTTTGACACAAACACACACAGACAAATTGTCACACACGCTCAACAGTGTCACACACACACAACTCTTTGATAC